TTAATGTTAATATTATATTATAAATGATATCTCTGTTTTAGTACCTGTGATAGTAGGCTGTATTGTTGGTAGTGTAGTTTTAGTATATATTGTTATTTTAATGTTAATATTATATTATAAATGATATCTCTGTTTTAGTATCTGTGATAGTAGGCTGTATTGTTGGTGGTGTAGTTTTAGTATATATTGTTATTTTAATGTTAATATTATATTATAAATGATATCTCTGTTTTAGTACATGTGATAGTAGGCTGTATTGTTGGTGGTGTAGTTTTAGTATATATCGTTATTTTAATGTTAATATTATATTATAAATGATATCTCTGTTTTAGTACATGTGATAGTAGGCTGTATTGTTAGTGGTGTAGTTTTAGTATATATAGTTATTTTAATATTAATATTATATTATAAATGATATCTCTGTTTTAGTACATGTGATAGTAGGCTGTATTGTTAGTGGTGTAGTTTTAGTATATATTGTTATTTTAATATTAATATTATATTATAAATGATATCTCTGTTTTAGTATCTGTGATAGTAGGCTGTATTGTTAGTGGTGTAGTTTTAGTATATATTGTTATTTTAATAATAATATTATATTATAAATGATATCTCTGTTTTAGTATCTGTGATAGTAGGCTGTATTGTTAGTGGTGTAGTTTTAGTATATATAGTTATTTTAATGTTAATATTATATTATAAATGATATCTCTGTTTTAGTATCTGTGATAGTAGTCTGTATTGTTGGTGGTGTAGTTTTAGTGTCTGTAATTGTTGTTATAGTCGTATGGTAAGTTTTCTAATTTTCACAAGAGACTAAATTGCATTTAAGACAGTTACCATTTTATAAAATGAACCACGTGAAATAATAGAATAAAATCTAGTCCAAAGATACCAATTCTCGATGTTTGAGGGCTGTTTGTGTTTTATCGCTGACCAACAGTTACTGCGACAGTTATAAGTTATCTGATTTAGTTTTCGAATTGAAACAAGAATTCAGCCCCCGCTCACTACATTGAAAATGCATCCCGTTTATGGTGTGAATTTATTTTCAGTTTTCGGAAACGCAGAAAGCAGAAACCCCAGAACGACCAGAACGTATTGGATCAGAATATTAGAAATAGTGATAGAAATATTTACCTTACCACGATACCTGATAGACCCAGTCAAATTCAACATCAGAATACAACCGACACCTTATCAAATACAGTGTATAGTAGTTTAGATTCAAGATACAATACTTCCAGTGATTTAAAACCATATGAACATCTACCAAAACAAGAAAACAGCCTAACAGAACATCAGGAAGATGTACCGCATATAGACAATGATTACGATATTGTTGTGGAAGGTTCGAGTCCGGAAAATGAAATCGAACTCAACACAATTCCTCCAAATAACTAGACCTGATCCACGAAACAATACTTCTAGTGACTATAGACCTTACGAACATCTTCCAAAACAAGAAAAGGATATTACTAAGCAACAAGAACATGTTTCAGAGCTACAGGAAGACGTTTTGTTTACAAACAACGATTATATTGATGTTGTGGAAGATACGAGTCCATATAATGAAATCGAATGAAATGAAATGAATGGAATTTTACGATGAAATCAAATGAATAGGTGACAATAATTCAAATGACTTACAGCCATATGAGCATCTTTCAAACATGTATAATAGCTAAAGTCCAAGAAAAAATATTTTAAATGGTTTTAAACCATATGATCAGTTGCCAAAGCAAGAAGAAACTATGTCACATACAAATAACAAATATTCTAATATTATGTTTAAAACCTCTTGAAAGATACCTACCTTGCTGACTGATTATAGGCAAATAAATCAAATCAGTGAATATAACTCAAGGGGAGTAACCATGTTTATAATATTGTGTATTGAAATAACTAATTGTTATATTATTATTATTTTTAACTTCTAGATATAAAAGGAATACCTTAAATTTATTATTATTATAATATGTATTATTATAGAAATGCAGAAGAAATTTCAAAGTTATGATCAATACCCGTTTTTAAATTCTGTCGGAGAATATCATATTGCACTAGACACCTTTTCATTATGAAATACCTACTCACTTATAAGCTGCTTCCGATGTTTCGCCAATATTTTGTTTTCGGGTTTTGTATCAATCTGTTGGTTGTTTTCGTCGAAAATTCTTGTAATGGAGATATTTGGTTGAAACATCATTAGTATAATTAAACTGTAATCTTGTCTTCTAGTTTATACGACACGTGTATATAGTTTCTGTTTATTTTGTGTAGTTTTCTTGTCTATTAATGTCAGTAATGTAAAATTTATCAATTTCATCAAATTTGGGGTTGTTACATTTTTACAAACCCAATCAGCTTTTTACTCAATTAGCTTTATTTTACACTCTTCGTTGTGACAAAAATATCTTTTATACTATCTTATACTATGTAAATGTTAGACATTCCAATATTTTAACAAATTAGTAGTTACTTTTTTGAATCGTGAAAATTAACTCTGAATATCCCGCAGATCAAGGTCACATTAAACTAGGACTATTATAAAATCATGATGCAGTTTGTAAAGAGATATCATATAACATTGATGTATATTAAGTTATCAATTCTTTATTGTGTGTTTTACAGTGTCAAATTATACACCATTATTTTATCTGCATAAATCGCCATCTAAACCACGCTATTTCAACATTTTATAAAGTGGAAAACAACCCCCATTGTGGAAAAACCCGTTATTGACTTAATGATACCTAATATTGTTAACATATTTATCCCATGCACTTCTTTTTATTGTTTCGCACTTTTATAATTGATAAAATGTTGTATTCATAGTTTCGTTAATGTTTACAGTGATCTGAACACAGAATTCCCAAGGGAGGCAAACACCACAGGCATTTAAGAGCACAATGATCAAAAATGTTGAACACGGTTAATAGTGGGGTCCAAATTGCGAAGTTCGATGACCTTCAATAAGTCATCTCCACTCACAATTCCAGTGACCCATCTGTAAATGGGTACGGATAATCCGGGAAAATAAATGCCAAGAGGTTTGGCCAAGAACCAGCTGGTAGAAAGGATTCTTAACTGTTGTTACCCTTGTAAAATATAGTTGTTTATTTGCATTCCTTCTTTTCCACCCCACCCCATAAGCATTAGACTACGCGATTAGGGATAAGTATATCAACCGGTTTTGACAAGGAAGTTAAAAGTTAAAATAAAACTACCGAGTGTGACCCTACTGCAATTGTTCATCCAATAAGTAGAGTAAAACGACAGTTTGAATCGTATGGTTTACTACTCAAGATAAGATTGTTCACGAAATTGAACAAATATAATTATGGGATTCGTAATTTTCTTGATAGTGAATATCATCATAGTTTTAACATATATGAGTTCTGTAGGTAAGTAACACTAATATTACACTTCTATTATTAGTATTATTAGTAATAGTAGGACGGTGGATTTGAGCCCCGACTGTGATAAACCGAACTGAGGGGATTTAAGTTCGTATTCAGCGACGAGGAGGAGTATGGCGAATGGTAACATTTCTTCTATTTAGAAACATGAGTGTGCATCGTCATATGTGCACTTGAGTTTCGATCAAATATACATCAAGTGTAATTTTATGATTTCAAAATAAATTGAACTCGAGCACTAACCACTGACTGTAAACCAATAAACGTTTAGAATAAAATCTCATCATTGGAATATTATTCTGACTCGGGGACTGATTGCGGACAGTAGAAAAAAGCAGTAAATGAATTATCGTTTAAGTAATATTATTTTAAGTATAGCACGCAAAACAATTTTCAGTAGACGAAATATTTTAGTAGAAACACCTAATTCTTATGTTGATATTATCAAACTATTTAAGTATAATCTTTGTCAAAGTCTTTATCATATAAAGTGTTATTATAAAACCAGAAACCTTAATTTTGTGAAAGAATTCATTTTACCCTCTTGTCTATTTACAATACAGTTAGATGGATCTATCGACGCCGACTTTTAATTAACAATATCATGAAATTACCCACTATCTAATATTGTTAAAACTCCATTTGGAGCTTTCATGTCAAAGGAAAATATCTATTAAAAATTATCCCTCAAATGGAACTTTAAAACTTGTTTCGCTTTCGGCTCCACAAAGTTTCATTGACATAGGGAAAATTTGTCCAATTATATATAATTGTTTTATAATCAAATGTCTCATTTTATATTGCTTTTAAATCAGTACTATTTTAATCAAACATAAATCAATTTAAAATATCTGTGATATTATTTCTGTGATATTTTGTATAGAATGTCTTGTAAATATTGATTATGTTTATATGTTGATAAATATTGCAAAGATAAAAAAAAAAGTAAATGAATTAAAAGACATCATCGTTCAGACCACTCACCCTTATCACTTCATAGATGGGACCTTGGTTCACTTTATCAAGCGCTGAATTTCAACCAATCAAAATTGCCTATTTGATAAGAAAGGGTTTTCCCATACCCTTATTTTATTCACGAGTTTTGTCCGCGTGTTCATATTCTACAAGCAAAACGTAAATAGGATTATTTGCAAGTATGTTAATTGGCTACTCAGTCTAATTAAAACTTTCGTTCAGCTCTTTTTTACTTTCATTTTTAATTTGAGCACTTCAGGTAAGGTCTAACGACGAACCTCTTAAATATTGTGATGCGAACAAAAGGTACATTCAGTGTCTAAGGCTTCTCATAATACACTTTTTGTTCGCGTCATTAAATCCTAGCATTGGAGAGGACTGTGGTGTCATCAAACTGACGAATGTTCACGAAGGCCATAGTTAGACCCTAACTGAAGTGGCGAAATAAAAAATATTAAAGTTAATAAAAAACGGAACGAAAGTTTGGACTGATTGGTCACTGTGATAATCACGTGACGTGACGTAATATCGATATTTATCCGGTCCCAAATACGAGCATCACCTGGTTCAAAGAA